CGTATATGACCCTTGAAAACATTATGCTAAGTAAAAGAAGCCAGACACAATTGCTCACATGTATGGTACCTTTTATATGAGCTATCTAGGGTAGACAAATCCATAGACAGTGAAAGCAGATTTAGAGGTTACTGGGGGAAAGGGGTAGGGGGAGTAATTACTTAACTGGTACAGGGTGTTGTTATAGGGTGATGAAAAGTTTTGCAAAGGAGAGAGAACTGATAGTTGCACAACATTGTGAATACTCTAAAGGCCATTTGATTTTACACTTTTAAATGGTTAATTGTATGCTATGTGAATTTCAGCTCAATTAGAAAATAAGAATGGATTGAAATGGATGCTTTCATTGAAAGCTAATGGAAATGTAAAGTGATACAACCTCTCTTTAGGAAACAGGTTTTCTATATTTAAGATAGGTGTTAAACTTACTGCTCTTTGATCCAGTATTCTGTATCTAGGAATGAAAGAAACTAATCTGGATACAAACAAATATTGATTTGCTGAGATATTCACTAAAGTATTCTTTTTTTAATAGTGAAGGATTAGGAAAAATCCTTTATCTCCAAAAATAAGGAATTAACTTTTAAATAAGATATTATATAGGCAGGAAAATTATATTTTTGTAATGTCTGTGTAGGTATCACTTTGGAAAAATAACTTTAATAGTATACATAATAATACATGTCTTTTACACTGTGTTTCCTTTGGCTTTCTCTTAATGGGATTTTGGTATTTTCATCATTTTTCTCTCTGCTTATCTATTTTTAAAGAATTTTCATGATGACTAAATACTCATGAATAATACTGAGTGAAAGTAATACTAAACTATGCTAAAATGTGTTTATTTGTTCATGCACATTCCTTGGAGAAAAAAGTATGTGACTAAAAGTATGCTAAAATGTAATGATGATTATCTCTTTATTTGAAGTTGTTGGATAATTTTACTTTATTCTTTATTACTATTCTCCTTAATAATTTTAAGCTTTCTTATTGCATAGGCAATTTTAATAGTATAAACAGGAAAACAGAAGCCTAGTTTGATGTCTTGTGGACAAAAAGAGTCAACTTTAAGTCTTTTAACATAAGGGATGGTGGAGACCAAGGTTTTATCAGTGAAGATGAAGGCTCCAGATAGCAGGCTTCAAATAGAGTAGATTGTAAATGCTTCTTATCAGACTTAAAAAGTCTATTCTATCAGTCTTAAGGTCTTTGTATTGCTGTTAATGCTGGTCAGCTGTGCCTGAATTCCAATAGAAAGGAGAATATAATGAGGCATGTCTGACCCTCACTTCCCATTCATGGCCTGAACTAGTTTTTCAGGTTAACTTTTGAATGCCTGAGGGGATTGTCCATCAGTTAGTTGTGAGGCTTAGAACTTTATTTTTGGTTTACTTCTGTTAAGTCAGTCTTTGCTAGTAGTGTAATGAAATCAGCTGTGTTTAATTTTTATTTTTGTTTGTTTTTGAGACAGGGTCTCTGTCTCCCAGGCTGGAGTGCAGTGGTGCAATCACATCTCACTATAGCCTCAACCTCCCCATGCTCAGGTGCTTCTCTTCCCTCAGCTCCAAAGTAACTAAGACTACAGGCAAAAGCCACCATGCCTGGCTAATTTTTGTATTTTTTGTAGAGACAGGGTTTCACCACATTGCCCATGCTGGTCTCAAAGTCCTGTGCTCAAGCAGTACACCTGCCTTGGCCTCCCAAAGTGTTGGAATTATAGGTCTGAGCCACCGTGCCCAGCCTGTGTTTAATTTTTAATTCAACTCTCTAAGAATAAATTTTATCTTAACAAAGATAGCTAACATAATTATTTACTATGTGAGATACTCTACTTTTAAACATTATCTTTCAATCAGCACAATTCCACAAGGTGGACTAATTCTACATCCCATGCTGTTCACAATACTATTTTCCAGTTTCAGATACATTGTTAATCTAAATGCCTATCCTTAAATTCATGTTCCCTTCCATTATACCTTACTATTTCCAGTTTAAGAACTATATCATCAGGTAAATATACTTTCCAGTGATTGCATATTTTTTATAACATTAGTGATGTTTAGCAGAGCCCCCTTGAATATTAAAATATTTATATATTAATTAACTTTGTCATTTAAATGTTAAGTTTAAGCATGTAGAAAAATACCTGGGAAATACATATTCTATAAAAGTGAATGACAGTAGGAAAAGATTGACTATTGGAATGGCAGTGTGAGGACCACATCAACTTACTCTCCCAGAGCCGCCCCAAAAAAACAAAAAAATACTGGCCAACCATATAATATCCACCATTTCAGAACTCTGGAAATTAACCAAAGCCACAGAATGGACTGAGTATTGTCTATTCTAGGGAAAACTATTGATCCTTGATAAGACACAGATTCTGTAGCATTTTTAACCTGGAGCTACTCTCATCCTGCCTCCCTTCTCAATTGAGTAGTGTAGTAGCCATGGAAAGCCAGCAGCTTCACAGCCAATGGATATGACTGACCTCCTTGGAGCTGCATGAAAATCTCTATCCCTATTACTATTAAAATTTTGTCTGAAGTAGCAACTCCCTGGAAAACCTTCATTCTCCGTATCTTGGCTATTTCATTTGACTAGGTCATTACCAAAAACAACAGTAATCTATCAGCAACATCTCAGCTACCAGAGCCTGTGATTAAAGGTGGAGGAAACAAGATCCTGGTCAAAACAGAAGAGGAATTCTTAGAAAACTGGAAAACTTAGGCAGCTTTGAAAAGCTACAACATATTCTTGGGGATCTAGAAGACTTTGCAAATTCCTAGAAAGGAAAACACCTCATTCAAATACTCAGCTCCCTTCTGCTTCACCATGTAGCCCTACGTAAGCAGGAAATGAAAACTAAGGCTGTCCATTAAACTGTCTGAACTTTGAAGACATGCCTTCACACACAAATCACTTTGACAAAGAGTGGAAGATGTACAGGCAAGGTATGTAGGGAAATCCTACAACAAATCACTGGCTGACCACTAAATAATACTGACCCAAGTATGCCAAGTAGGAAGCCAGATATAGAATAAAAACTTTAAAAATAAAAATTAAAAAAAACTTGGGGGCAACCACTTCAGGAAATACAGAATGCACAGAATTCACTAAATGAAAAAAAAAAAGCTACTAAACAAATAAACAGTAACAAAAACAACAAACCCTTGGGTGGGGTTACGTGATACCACAGTTGTCACTATTATCTTAAAGGTCCAGTTTTCAACAAAAATTATAAGACCTACAAAGAAACAGGAAAGTATGCTAATACATATTTCTTTTTTTTTTTTTTTTTTTTTTTTTTTTTTTTTTTTTTTTTTTTTTTTTTTTGAGTTTCGCTCTTGTTACCCAGGCTGGAGTGCAATGGCGCGATCTCAGCTCACCGCACCCTCCGCCTCCTGGGTTCAGGCAATTCTCCTGCCTCAGCCTCCTGAGAAGCTGGGATTACAGGCACACGCCACCATGCCCAGCTGATTTTTTGTATTTTTAGTAGAGACGGGGTTTCACCATGTTGACCAGGATGGTCTCAATCTCTTGAGCTCGTGATCCACCCGAGTCGGCCTCCCAAAGTGCTGGGATTACAGGCTTGAGCCACCGCGCCCGGCCATATTTCTTTAAAAAAAAAAAAAGACAGAAAAAGTGCCTCAAAGGCCAGATGCCTTACTTAACTGACACGAGAGAGAGAGAGAGAGAAAAAGAGAGAGAGAGAGAGAGTGTGTGTGTGTGTGTGTGCGCGCGCGCGCATGTGTGTGTGTGTGTATGTGTGTGTGTGTATAGTTGAGCTTTCATGTGCTTATTCATCATTTTCATGATTAACAACTGTTAGTAATTTGGGAAATGCAAGTAAAAACTACATGAGATACCACTTCACAACCAGGAGAATGGCTATAATAAAAAAGACACAATAAAAAGTGTTATTGAGGATGTGGAAAAATTTGAACCATCATTCATTGCTGGTACATAAAATGGTGCAGGTACTTTGGAAACAGTTCTGTAGTTCCTATGATGTTAAACACTCTTAGCTACATAATCAAGGAAAAGGAAAACGAGTAAATACAAAAATAAACCCTGTGTATGAATGTTCACACCATTATTCATAATAACCAAAAATGGAAATGACTGAAATGTCCATCAATTAATGAAACTAAATTTATATAACACAACAGTAATATTTGGCAAATAACAGTAATAAAGTATGGAAACATGCTAACATATAGATGAACCTTGAAAACATGCTAAGTGAAAGAAGCCAGTCACCGAAGACCACATTGTATGATTGCATTTATATGAAGCCTTCAGAATAGGCAAATCTGTAGAGGCAGAAAGCAGATTAGTGATTATATACAGCTGGAAGTGTGTGGGTTGGACACAGACATGACTGCTAATATGTATAGAGCTTCTCAAGTGATAAAAATGTTCTAAGATTAGATTGTGGTGATGTCTGAACAATTCTTTGAATATACTCAAAACCACTTAACTGTATACTTTAAATGGGTGATGTGTATGGTATGTGAATTATATCTCATTAAAGCTATTTTCTTTAAAAAGTGAATCACTGGCTGAGCACAGTGGCTCATGCCAATAATCCCAGCATTTTGAGAGGCCGAGGCAGGGGGATCACTTGACCCCAGGAGTTTGAGGCCAGGCAACGTAGTGAAACACCATCTCTACAAATATTTAAAAATTAGCTCAGCATGGTGGCGCACGCCTGTGGTCTCAGCTACTTGGGAGGCTGGGATAGAAGAATAGCTTGGGCCTGAGACTTGGTCAAGGCTCAGTGAGCTGTGATCATACTACTGCACTGCAGCCTAGGTGACAGAGTGAGACCATGTCTCAAAAAAAGAAAAAAGTGAATCATTAATATTAATGAACTGTATGTTTCACTTCACGTTTTATTCTAATAACTATATATTTAATATTTTATCATTTTAATATTTGATGGGAGCAGTGTTTCCAGATATGTTTTTAATGTTTTTTTAATTGAATAATTCTAGCTGGCCAACTCAGCCAATCCGCACATTTAGCTCTTCAACTACCATACAACGTGCTTGGATTAGGTCGGAGTGCAAATTTTCTTGACCATCTCTATGTTGGTATTCCCCGTCCATCTGGAGAAAAAGTGAGTAAAAATTCATTTTGTTTACAGTTAATCTGTGTTTTAATATTCACTATTTAAATATTTAAATTAATTTGAACCTAATTGAATTTGAATTCAAATACATAAAATATTTTTATTCCCTTCAGCAAATAAAGAAAAATATATTGGTAGTGACCTAAGCTTATCTTACATAGAGCACATCATGATTTGAAGATACCATGTAGTTTTTCCCTCTCCTCTCCCATAAACCTCACCTATTCCTCTATCCCGCTTTTTCTTCCTAACATTTTTCACCACCTAACGTGTACATAAAATATTTTACTAACATAAATACTATTATTATACATATGTGTAAGTATTATATATAATATGTATAATTGTATTATTTTACTTGCTTTATTGTCCGTCTCCCTTAATTTGAATTTTAGCTCCAAGCAGCATTTGTATATAACCCTTTGAACACTGCCCACTACATAAGTGTCTAATAAATATTTGTTAAATGAATGAATTCATAAAACACAGTATAATCTTTCCTGCTGGGTGCAGTGGCTCTTGCCTGTAACCTCAGCACTTTGGGAGGCTGAGGCAGGTGGATCACCTGAGCTCAGGAGTTCACGACCAGCTGGGCAACACAGTGAAACCCCATCTCTATTAAAATACAAAAAATTAGCTGGGCATGGTGGCGTGCACCTGTAGTCCCAGCTACTCCGGAGGCTGAGTCAGGAGAATTGCTTGAACCCAGGAGGTGGAGGTTGCAGTGAGCTGAGATCACGGCACTGCATTCCAGCCTGAGTGACAGAGCGAGACTCCGTCTCAAATACTTATATATATATATGTAAAATCTTTCCCTGAAAAGATGAGAAAGTTTTCCAACAGATGATACAAAAGCCTTATTTTTGGCTTAATACTGGTAAACATAGCTTAATACATACCTAGAAGTTGAATCTCTCAAAGTAGTTGAGATTTTTCCTTATTTATTTAGAATAATAATTTTGTTTTTTAAATGTACTAAATGTTAAATCTTCTTAAATTCTTCTTCTTCCAGTCTGTACGAAAACAAGAGTGGACTGCAATCATTCCAAATTCCCAGCTAATTGTCATTCCATACCCTCATAATGTCCCTCGAAGGTAATGTCCTTGCTTGAACTGATTTGGTAAAGACACTGCTAACTCTGAAATATAGATATAGTGATGTCTTTTAAACTCTCTCATATTCCTGCTGTATTCCCATGAGTACCCATCCCTTAATTTGCTTATGGCAAACTTTAAATGACTAAACATACTTACATAAAAGGTCCCAGATATTTTTCATGAAGAACCAATTCAATCCTATTAGAAAAACGTCAGGTTAACTCATTAGGGATTTATACATATTCCACTTAAATAAACTGCTCTTCAGTTTACTAGTTATAAATTCAAATTTTCAGGATACTAAATCTTTGTATAAAGCACTGGTCTTTTAAATAAATTATTTGAGAAGCAGTATATATCCCAGTGGTTGGGCACAAATTTTGGAGTTAAATAGATGTAGGCTAGAAAAATTCAGCGCCATTGCTGACCGAGTGCAAGAGTAGGAACCAGTACTTTGTCCTCTCCAAGACTCAGTTTCTGCATCTGAAGGTGAAATATACTTAACACAGTGCTAGTTAAGTGAATAGTAGGTATTTTTATCCTTATTAGAATACATTCATTTCATAATACAGCATTTAACTCGAAATCCTTAATTTATCTTTGTTCATTTTTATTTAAATTCCTCTAGATTGATTCTGTTCTTTTTAAGTTCGGCAATAAAAGCATTCCCTAACATTTAAATTTCATAGAGAAAAATTTGCTAGACAAATATCAATGAGAAAATAACCAAAAAGAAATGGTGAATTTATCTATGAATATGTAATCAGTGGGGTCCCCTGCTTGTTACATTCCCTCTGAAAATACGGGCTTCATCATTCTTTATTAAATGTTTCCATCGACTGTATTGTGTGCCAAAACCAGCTGTGCCACCTCATGAGCTGACTCTGTGCATCTCTATTCAGTGAAGTCACACTGAAATCAGTTATGGTGAGAGAATCTACTCCATGAAAATTGGCAGGTACCAGTATCAGGGCTTCCCCCACCCCTCTCTACCTCAGAGCCAGTTTACCAGCACAACTGAGCAGATGCATTTTATGATAGATTAATGGGCTTTAGAACCAAACTGTTTAAGAAAATAAACTTTATTACAGCCTTATGCTTGGAATAAGATGACATCATTGAAACAGTTATAGTCCTGGTTCAGATTTTTTTTAATGAGCCTGTATTGTGTGTTAGTTTTCTATAGATGACATTTACAGTAAAACTAGAAAATCTGGACTATGAGTAAGAAACTATATAAAGTATGATACTTCTATACAGTTCAGTATCATGACTTTTTTTCACTGCCATGGACATAGAACAGCCCCTTAAGATGGAGTGGTAAGCTAAAAAACAACAACAACAAACAAAAGAAGCAACAGCAAAATGTAGAAGAGTATGTATAACGAGCAGCCATTGTGATTAAAAAAGAAGATATCTACACATACATGTTCATGTATGTATAAGATATCTCTGAAAGGATATGCAAGAAACTGGTAAGACTGCCTCTGAGCAGAAAACTGAGGATTGGCTTTTGTCTTTTTTTTTTTTTTTTTTTTTTTTTTTTTTTTTTTTT